GGATGGATGGATGGATGAAGAATGGCTGGCTGGGTGGTTGGATCAATGGATGGATGGATGGACAGACATATGAATATGTGGGTTAGGTTGTTTCCCTCATCGTGCTTTTATTTGTCCCAATGTATAATTTTATTTAGTTTGAAATGTCAGAACTGTCATTATTTTCCATATTTTTCATGACATTGTAATCACAACTAGCAAAGTGGCACTCAGTTTTAATTTGATTAACCTTTCACTTAACGCTATGTTTACTCTTATATTTTATATTGAGAATACTTTAATATCTTCCTATATTTACATTTCAGCACTCAGCCCTGTTACTCAGTAGGATTTATTTTTATGAAATATAATTAAATATATGTAATTGTGGGACTTATTAATGAGTGGTTTATTTTAAATGTATAAAATAAATAAAATAATAATAAAATAAATAAAATAATAACAATAATGGTAATAAATGTTTTCAACATTATTTTGTATAGAAAGCAGCCTGACCCTTGACAAAACATTTCTAAAGTGCTTGAATAAGCTCAGATATTCAAATATTTGTACATTTATTACATGTAATATTGATTTCATGGTTCTAATAATACATTTTCCTCAGCTCAATTCTTTTTCTTCTAACATGTCCTTGGATCTCTTCCGGCACATAGAAGCGTACATCATCTGACATCGGCAGACCTGTCACTTAGACCACATTAAGTTAAGCTGGCCTGTAAATCAGCCGTGACTTGACAATAGCTGTCTCTGAACGCTGAAGACTTCCCACCCAGCTATGTATACTCTGTGAAATTGTAGCATTCCAGTAGCTATGCGACCTTTAATGGCCCGCATTAGCCATTCAGACATGTTAACATGATTTATTGTGCACTAATCGCTGTAGGACATCTAATTAGATCATTACACAGAGACTTCATTCATAAACAGACTAATTGGAGCTAATGAAGAAGGAGCTAGATTCTCTGAGTTTTACCAACTGGGGCTGTCCAAGTCGAGTGCCTTCTAAACTGACAAGTCAACGCTTTGTTTATGTTGGAAGGAGATGGATCAGGCATGACCTCTCAACCCATTTCCTCAGTGGGTTCCTTGTGGGGGGTGTGGGGGCTTGAAGAAACAAGTCGCTGCCACAATGGAATGGCACACACATGTGCAACGGTGGAAAGGAAAGCAAAATGCCTCAAGTTTAACAAGCACAGACAGAGCAATTTGTTCTCATTGGAAGGTCCAACCCTGCCTAAATGTGATTATAAATTTAGGAAGACACAAAGTTAGTCTTTGTAAACTGTTTCTAATGCCTACCAGGTGGCTCTACCTTCTCAACATCAAGTATATATACCATTTATTATACTATTTATCTATATATATTTTTTGTTTAAATTATTTGGTATTGTTGTGGGTAATTGTAAACTAAGAGGAGAATTATATGTTGTTTTAACACTCATTTGATTCAATCTTAAGATCTTTCTTTAAAATATATTTTGAACAGTTCAATCAGAATAGCTTTGTTTTTTAGGCTACTGGAATTATAAAAACAATCAGAGCAGATTAATCCAAATGAAATATATAATTGAAGCAGATTCATTTTCTAAATGCTTTTTTAGATATAACAGGTAGAATAGAACCTAATTTTCGTAGGAATTTGCCACAAGGGGGCAGCATAGAAATCTGTTTTCACAGTGATCCAATGCTCTTCTCTAAAGTTTGATTCTAGTTTATTTCTGTAGTTCCATTATGTCTTGTCATTGTTTTTTTTAGTTTCAATCAATCTAAAAACAGACATATTTTCTTTTAAAAGTGAGACAAAAACAGGCCCACCAGAGGTGCGCTTGTTACCACTGGACACAAAACTACTTCAAACTTCGAAGCTCTGCTGACTGACAGTCTTTTCCTGCTGAAGATAAACGGACCACACACTGCTCGGGCCGTAATTACCTTTCCACACACCAGAGAGGGAGTCAGCCAGCCAGTTACAAGCATGTCCCTCTTGTCTGACATCTTAATTAGATGCCTAAGGCATAAAGGGTTACAATGTAAATAATATATCCTATTTGGAGTAATTTAATCATCCACCTAATGCATCCCAAAATAAATAGGGAATATACGTTTCTTTATTTTTGGAACTTTTCATTTCACCAAAAGCAAACCATAAATCTGGACGGCAAGAAATAAGTTCCCCTAGTATTTTTACACCTGTGTGAAAAAGTAGCTTGGGGTTGTTTAACTCAGGAATGCAGCTTTTAAACAGGAGACAGTTGAAGAATAGGTAAAACTGAAAAAGGAAAACCACCTCAGAGATGTTATTAGTAGCCATAAAGTTCACGCCTACAACTTACGTGGTTAATAAACAAAAACAATCTATCTGTTATAATGACTTGAAACAAGAACCAATAAAATATCCATTTAAATTCTTTTTATTTTCAAAATAAAGTTTTCTATCAAAGTGGCAATTAGACATATTTACAGTCTTGTGAAATTACATATACAAATATACAAAGTATATACAGCAATAATTATATAAATACACTCTATACGTGCTGATGCAACCCGTATGAGGCAGCTTTAAGGCAATGATGAATTGTTGTAGAAAAACAGCTCAGCTTTGGCCTCTCTTTAAGCAGAGAGCTCCTATTGTGGATGTTTAAGACACAGCGGTTCTTCACAGTAGGAAGAAGAAGAGCCCCAGGTATACCATGTAACCAGGGCCGGCCTGAGGAATAGCAAACAATGCATATGCTAAAGAAACCTTTCTAGCTGGAAGGTTGTGGTAATGGTCTTAAGCTATTTAAAGCATTTGTGCTAGTAGAGTTTGAGCTGGAAATAAACTGACATAAATGCAAGTGAGAAAGCGATTAAGTGACAGAAATAACTTCCTGTTCTTTAATCACTGATATGACGTATTGTGAAATGGTGCTATTTGAAAAAAATTAATTAAGGCAATAAAGGAAAATAATCTAATATCTTTGTTTTCATGTTTTGACACAGCAGTAAATGCTTTTTAAAAGCTTTTTGATTGCACAATAAAAAAAATGTATGCATTAGTGTTAAAGCAGTTCTTCACATCATGGATATGGAGCATTGATGGAAACAATGGTCTCTAACAGGTCTGACTGATAATCTGAAAGCTGCTGCTAAGAAAACCTAAAAAAACAACGATGACTGACAGCAGATTTCAGCAAATTAGTTTTCTTTTCTGGTTTTGCAGTAATGAAAATGTTATATAGCATGAATCCAGCTGGCTGCATCCATTCTTTCTGAGCAACATATGGTTGTTTGTTGTTTTTTATTTTATCCTTTTTTATGATGCAAAGCTGCTGCTGTAACATTAATTCATTTCTAAAGGATAAGATTTTAAAACTTTGAAAAAGTCTCTGTAGTTAAGAAAAAAATTCTATTACATTTGTATTTAAAAAGCAAATCATATGAAGTCAATTTTATTAACTCAGTTTGTTGTTTAACAATATAACAGCTGTGTGAAATGCAGAATGCAAAGAATGGGCGAAAAAAGAAATATCACATGGACCATAATAAATGGGGGTCAGTGGTGCAGATGTGGGACAATCTGCTGAGCTCTTTAACCTTTAGGCAGCAGCCTGCTGTCAGATACACAGAGTCAAGCTCACCACATGTGTCTAAGCAGACTTTTCTTATCTGTCACAAATTAATTCTTTACAAACTATATGGATATTTTTTTAGAAAACCTATAAAATTACGCAATGTAATAACTCCTGTGAAGTTATTAAGCCATCCTCTGTAGGAGAAGTCAAGCGCCCTGTTTCCCTCAAAGCCCTAAACTGCTGCTTAATTTGCTTGTGCCTCTGGCCGGCTCTGGCAATATGCATTCAATTAATCCTACATAAGGCTGCATTCTTCGGGGCAGGTACTGCATTGTTCTGCTGCTGCTGACAGGCTCATTATTTAAAGAGAAACCATTAGGCGCTCATTATTGTGCTAATTACAACACGCTGATGGACAATCCTAGCACAATTGGTCCCCCCCCCCCCTCCTTAAATCCGTACATGGACGTCATTTGGATAAGGCAATAAAAGCTTGCGCTCCAACTCATTTCAGAAGTTTTTCAAAACACAAAAGGGCCAATCTGTCTTCTTTGTACCTTAGTTTTAATAATTTATCTCATAAAAAATATTTAAAAGAGCTGCTTTTACAGTCTAAAGACAGAGGAGACATTAACGCGTCCGTGCGCCCTCGACAGCCCGCCTGACCTGTTCAGACTCGGGACAGAGGCATTTGTTTGGGGCAGGAGACCGAGCTGGCAGTCCCGGATCTCCAGGTCAGTCCGGTACTCACATCACTGTACATGGAGCCAGCTGACGCTTTGCTCCCCCAGCAGCAGCGTGTGCAAAAAGTCCTCCAGGACTCCAATGTCTTCCCGGACCAGATCCAGGCCCCCGAGGTGATCCCCACCAGGAGGCACATGAAGTATTTCAGCATAAACACGGCATAGTCCGGTCTCTGCCTGCTGCGGTCCGTTACGCACGTACAGTTGTGCGTAATCTCCCACGTCTGCCTGTTGTGCTGCTCATAAAAGTAACAGGCCACTATGACCGTGGCCGGGACGGTGTAGAGAACCGTGAAAACTCCGATCCGGATCATGAGGCGCTCAAGTTTGTCAGTCTTGGTTCCGCCTTGCTTTATAACGCTCCGGATGCGGAACAGCGAGACGAACCCTGCGAGCAGGAACATGGTTCCGATGAACAGGTAGATGACCAGCGGGGCGAGCACAAACCCCCGCAGGTTATCCAGGTTTTGATTCCCCACGTAGCAGATTCCAGCCACAGAGTCCCCGTCCACCGAGCTGAGCGCCAAAACAGTTATGGACTTGAGGCTGGGGATGAGCCAGGCGGCCAGGTGGAAGTACTGGGAGTAACTGGCGATAGCCTCGTTCCCCCACTTCATACCTGCCGCCAGGAACCAGGTGAGAGACAGAATCACCCACCAGATGGAGCTGGCCATGCCGAAGAAATAAATGAGCAGGAAAACTATGGTGCAGAGCGCAGGACCCGTCGTCTCATAGTGGATGTGCTCTGCGCCGTTTTCCCTGTTGCACGCAACTTCCTCATGTCCGGCGATCAGCCTGACAATATATCCCACCGACACAAACATGTAGCAGGCAGAGAGGAAGATGATGGGCCGCTCCGGGTACTTGAACCTCTCCATGTCTATGAGGAAAGTTGCAACTGTTGCAAAAGTGGAAATGAAGCAGAGGACCGACCACAGGCCGATCCAGAAGGCGGTGAAAGTCCTCTCCTCCTGGGTGAAGTAGGGATTGTGACAAGGCATGGCGCAGTTGGTGATCTGTCCCGTCTTGACGCGGTTGCGCATAGGGTGGCCCTCCGCACTGAGTGGCACCATGGGCGCACGGCAGAAGCAGCCCGTCTCGCAGGGAGACGCGGCGGGTTTGTGTTTGCCGGGGAAACCTCGGCCGTAGCCGCTCTTTTTCTTATTATATGGCTTCAGCGACCGGTTGGTAGGTTTGACAAGGACGGGAGATGCTGTGGTGGTCTGGCTCCTGTTATAGTCCATGCACAGAGTGTTTTGGTCCCCCTGCTCGGGCAGCAGGTCGCACCTCATCCGGTCCGGCCACGGGAAGCCGTACTGGCTCATGAGCGGCGCGCACCCAGCCTTGGCTCGCTCACACACGCTCCTGCACGGCGGCAGCGGCTTCTTGTAATCCTCCAGGCAGATCGGTGTGTACATGCTGCAGAGGAAGAAGCGCAGGTCCGGGGAGCACTTTATCTCCACCAGCGGCCAGAACTGGTGAACCTCCAGCCCGGCTTCATCCTGGGTGTCGTGGTTGAACTGGTTGGGCATATAGGTGAAGTTGTAGCCGATCCCTTTGCAGAGAGGAACCGATATCTCCTGGCACTGGAGCTCCTTGGCCGCCTTGCAGCGCGTTAAGTACAGGATGAGAGTAATCAGGACGCACCAAGCCGGGATGCGCGCCTCCATCGCTGCCTTCTGTGCGCAAACACTCCAGGACAAAACTGACAGGAAACTTGCGCTCAGCAAGAAAGTCCAACTAATCAAAAAACTCTTTCAAACTCATGCTAAACGCCAGGAGGAAGTCAGTGACACTTCAGTCCATATGAATCCAAACGGAAACCCGTTACTGTCAAACAACCAGGGGACTCTGACTGTCTGTCTGTGCGCAGCGCGTCTCTGCATGCTCTGTGGCTGACAGGCGGGTTGCTATTTATATGAGGGGGAAGAGGACACTCCCCCCGCAGGGACAGGGAGGGAGTTCAATTCAATCAGGAGTTCCCTCTCTAGGTGTTTGCCTTAAAATGTAAACCCTGGAGGAAAGGGTTAGAATCCCCCAATCTTTGTTTACCATACGCAGAAGGCTTTGCAAGAAGGGTGGGCATGTCAGTGTGCGTGATGGGTCTGGAAAAGGGTTATTGGTTACAATGGATACATTATGAAGGAATGCAGTTAGGCATGTTAATTGTTAGCAGGAAACTAATAGGTCAACTGATGGAGCTTTTTAGGTCAGCAGAACAAAACAATGAGGTTGCATCAGAGCAGCACTCATGTGTATTAAACTAGAGGAGACAAACAGCCCACACTCTGCTGAAATGTATTGTTCCCATTGTTTCTAAACACCCCATTTTTTAGGAAAAAGCAACAATTTTAAACACATTTATGCATCTATTCATTTATTTATCATTCAAATATGAGTGAGTTTTCCATGATTCGTAGAATCTTATGAAAAAAATTGGAGAAAATGTTTAGAAATGTTCTTAAAAATTACCTGAACGACAGCAAAACAACGCAGAAATTTAAAACTATGAAGATATTTAACATTTTAATTGCAATAATCAATATGCACTATATTAAAAGTAAAAAATAAAGTATTTTAATTTTTGAATCCATTTGTATTTTTACCACAAAAGTTGATAGATTTGAATTGATTAGTGACAAACAAGCATAAATATGAAGTACATGGAACCCTCTCAACTTGCATGTAGATATTTTTTTGCATGATTCCCAGGGGAGGGTGTTATGTTGTTCATTGTTTAAAAGCAGGTGGGTTAACCAGTCCCTTTGCAGTTCAACAGGGAACATTTTCAAACTAATGTTTTATGCAGCCCCCCCCTCCTTTAATTGGCTGATAAGTTTGACAGAGTACAATCTATTCACCGTTTGTCAGTAAGTCATTCTGAAACGAGGAAGCACAATGACTCTGTCCGTCACAGAGACCTCCTGCCTCCTTTGGATGTCTGACAATGTGAAAATATACATGTAGCCTTGGAGTTGGATGTATGTGTGAAAGAATGAGACAATGTGTCTACATGTTGATGTGTATGGCTGCTTGTCAGAAGCTGAATTAAACAGAGAATCACTGTGTGTGTGTCAGAGAGCGAGGTTTGTAAGGGCTTGTGAGCCCACAGCAGGGGTCCCGACTTGCTCTCAAAAGGAGGGGGCTGTTTGTCTTAACGCCGCTGCCAACGTTTCACTAAATGCATGCTGGGTCGCAGATTACCGTGTCACACCAACCGCCTAATAAACAGGACTGTGTGTTTGTGTGTGTTAACAGTTTCAGAGCTCAGCCCTAATGGAAATAAGCTAACATGGGCAGATACTGCATTGTGATTGCACTAATTAAAGTCATTCGCACTTCTTATTGGATTTAGCAGCTTCAAATGGAGCTAAGACAGTTTGGCAGACAGGCAGCATGTTTCCAATCCACAGGTTTTATCACAACTAATTAGCCCCCGAACTCCTGCATTTATAAAAAGGGTAGATGCTTAAGCTCAGGTTGGGGTCTCATAATGGTGGTTTTTCTGACAAAATTACTAATTCAGGCAGTCACAAAGATGAGGTAACCTCCTGTAAAAGAACTTCCTCCTGACATGATTGACGAAAATGATTTGGTCAGAAAGAAAAACCCCTTAGTATTTATAGAAAGATTGAATCAGAAAAACTAAAATCTTGATAAGTTGATGATTTTATGGCACTTATCATCCAAAAGAGAGACATTGGTAGGTTGTTTATTATTTTATTTTTATTATCAGAACCTATTCCCTGTTTTCTAATTTAAATAGCTGGAATACAAATCTTTACCATCCCTCCCAGACCCATAGGAGGATAGAATTTGCTTCAATTGATGCTGAATGTTTAACTTTGTATCACTAACATCCATTTATGTGTACGACTTAAAAGAGGTTAATTTAAGTTTAAAAGATGAAACTGGAAAAAAACTAAAATATATTTAACTGATTCATAAAGTTATTTAAGAATAATTTATATAATTTTATCCATTCTGCATGGATTATCAATGTGATTCCAATTTATTTTCCATAGTTTCTGTTATCCTCCATTAATAGTTCAGTAATAATGATTCAGTTACTTGCTACCAGCTGAAGCAATTCTGAATTTTCTTTTCAGAGTATGGTGGCGTTATTCAAATGGATACTAATTAGTTCTGAACATTGACAGTGTCTGAGTATTAACTGCTTAAGCAGACTAGATAGTTATTAAAACAAAACAGGAGCAGAAGCTTTACCAGAAAAAAAAAAAGTCACTCTTTCTAACTGCTGCTGAGAACTTTTTAGTCTTTTAGGAAAGTTTGCAGCTGTTGAAGTGACAAAATGAGCCAGTCCATCAGATCATGATCATCGGCATTCCTTATCACTCTCTCAAGTTTTTGTTAAGTTGATTCCATGGAAGCTAATCTCACATAAATATGACAAACTAAATAATTTCAAATCAATACATTTTTAATTCTGCATAAGTAGTCAGTAAAAAGAACTCTAAAATAAACAAAAACGTTGGTTTTAAAAGATGAGCACTTCCCTCGAAGGTTGACATGAATATAGATGCTGATGGAAGGAGCACAGCTTTAGAAAAAACAGACCTTACAAAACATCTGTTTCATTTTTCTTTTAAATTGTTACTCAATGCTTTAAAAAATAATGGATTTAAAAACAAGAAACATACCGAGGCATCCATCTAATCTATGTCTTTGATCCTGACAGATTAAACGGACAAAACCTTAGATATGTTCATCTGAACTATTTGTCCGAGTTGTGTTGAGGCTGGCGTATGATTTACTTTGGGCTGAGTTGTAGGATTCAGGTGAAACTCATAAGAAACAGGTGCCTCCGTCTCCCATCAGGGCCAGCTAAACAGCAGAATGAGCATCAGTTACACCAATCGCTGTCTGTCGGACTGGAACCCGTATTGATTAACAAGGCTGATAGACTCGGTGGCCCCAGCCACCAACTGTCGACTACGCCTCCTGCCTTCTGTGTGCAACGGGGATAGTGGGTTTAGGGTTACGCACTGGCCCCCTGCATACCAAATTTAAAAGGGTGGAAATGGAATTACTGCATCTGCTTAGAAGTCGATTTCTACATTCTAGAGGCTGACCCTGACTACTATACTCCTTTCGTGCTTTCCCACCCGATCGTACTCCAGATTCTCCCAGGGCTCTCAGTGTTGCTGATGCCAAAGGGAAAAAAAAGGTGGGTGTGTGGGGGTGTTTCTTACAGAGTCACTGAGGCATGCTGTGAAACTCTGAAATGTTTTTTCTTTGTATCCTTCTCATGGAAAGTTTGGCCGCCTCACAAACTCATAGCCATTGTTTTTGTTATAATGTGCAAATATATCTGATGATTAGTATTCATTAATGCTGACTTTTGCTCCAATGGGTGAGATGCCTTTGTCAGTCACAAGAGGGTCTAAAGCAGTCTTGGGTGAATGCAGGACTCTTTAGAGGATCTCTAGAGACTCTGTAGTGACATTTTAGGTTAAAAGGAAATCTAATGGTGCTGCTGCACATAAGCAGGTAAAACACTGAATGCTGGGGTTCTAATGAAAGACATACAGTATATAGATCTTCAAAATCCTGGTAATTGGTAAACCTCTGCTAAACAGATTAATGTAATGAGAATGGTTTTATTTATTGTAATGATTATAAAATAAAAGCACCCTGCAACCGACTGCTGACCTGTCCAGGGTGTAGCCGGTCTTGCGCCCTTAGACTGTTGGAGATAAAAAACCATCCACGGTTTTCCTCACTTATAAAAGTGAAAGCAACAGAGCATCACTTTTACTTAAAAAAAACTGTTGAAGAAATATTACAGGAATACTTGTTCTGTATACCATCACATTTTTGCCTACCACTCCCTTCTAAACTTGAAGTGAAATGGAAGATAAATTGTTCTCAATGCGACCTTATCCTCCATCATTATGACTGGCTGTGACTGGCTGGATGTGCTCTCTTCGTCCTCTGGCATCGGAGCTGGCTCAGAGCTCGTCTGCCTAGCTGTGTGTTTCCTGGACGGGGCCGCCTTTTGCAGCCGCTTTTTGTGTCTCTGCTTCTGTCTCCTTGAACCCCAGCCAGCCTCTGCAGATGGCCGCTCACACTGAGCCTTGTTCTGCTGGAGTTTTCTTCCTGTTAAAAGGGAGTTTTTCCTCTCCACTGTCGCTACAAGCATGCTTAGTGTGAGGAATTGTATTTGAGTCAATGAGTCGATGCAATCAACTGGTTTTCCTTAGATAGAAAACTTTGAATCAATTTGACTGTATGATCTGGTTGAACTGTAAAGTGCCTTGAGATGACTTGTGTTGTGAATTTAGCGCTATATAAATAAACTGAATTGAATTGAATTATGATGGGATACATTCTGAAATAAATAGTTAATTTCACATACTTCTTCAAAGTCAAATCATGTTTTGAAATAAAAGATGCAACTAAATGTGTCATTGTTTACAGATTTAGCAGATAAAACTAAAATTTTCATGTAATGGTACAGTGGATGATGTTTATCAAAATAAATGGTCCTCCTAATTGTCAATCATTCTCGTGACATGTCTATGTAAGGCTGTCCTACGTGCTTATCCCCATTTTCCCTTAACCGTGATGAGTTTGACATAGTGGGACAATTGCAAATCTTCTTTTGAAAAGTAAGTTTGTATGAGAGATGCAAAAAGCAACAAGTAAACAGAGCATGCACGAGGAGAAATAGGCTCATGCATTCTCTCGCACGCGTTTAATAGACGTTCCCTCTTGGAAGTGGGATGTAAAAAATGCATGTGCATTTTTTTTTTAAATGGAGAGGGCGGGTCTTATAAAAAATTCACAAAAATTCGCCACTATACCTTTAAGGCAACTTCAATAATATGTAGCATTAGTGGGAATACCTGGTTTTAGATTCAAACAAATCCACCAGTGA